GAATTTCAATGTCCCTTGACAAAACTAACTACGATGCCGACGAAAGGTCTGGGAATGTACCAAGTCCACGGTCAGACTATGGAAATTATCATGCATACTATGGGCTCCGGACTTAGTGTGTTCTTCTAGTTCTTCCTACTAATATGACGAAGTTGCGAAAATAAGGACAAATAACTTGTATACAACGAAAGAGATTGCGACCATACAAAAGGCCACACTATCTTGGTCTTCATAGCTTCGATAAAAAAACTTTTTTATTTCCAACCATCAGAAATGATAATACGGTTGGTCACTATGAACATGCATCGACTGAGTCTTACAACTAGATATGATGCAGTTAGAAAATTGTGATCTCTGACTTAGTGGTGGTGAAAAAGAACCAGAGTTTATCCTATCTGGTTCAATCAAGTTCACTATCCAGTTGGAGAGACTTCATCCACAAAATGACTTTTTAGTTAAAGCTAATTGTAAAGAACAAAATCCTCAAAGAACAAACAATAAATCACATGACGAATTGTAAAATCGAAGATCAACAAGAAACCTGAAATCCATACATATATAAACTATCAATTCTTTATAGTAAATGGAAGAATCTGGGTTATCACAGGCACACAAAAGATAAAACTGCCATTCGGTTCAATGAAAAAAGCATTTTGATACTCACCATATACTTCAACTTTTGACTTGAATCAATCTCAGTAAAAAAAAATTAACAATTTCGTGCAAAGGGCTTGTTGATAGCCTTTATCGATAAGCCTTATCTTCTGTAATGCATAACCGGCACTTGTGTACATTTATAAACTTAGTATTGTAAGCTACAACCTAGACAACCAACATTTTCCATTCGAGCCTAATTTCTTTGAATATTTATTTGCACCTAGGTATCCGAAAAACGACTCGCCAAGTGTTGTGGGCCATCGATCGAAAATGCATGGTAAATAAATAAGGCCAAGGTGAACTCTGAGAGTTTTTGACTGCCAAAAATAGACATATGCACCTATATCATGCAGCCAGAATAAAGGATAACAAAGAAGTAAGAAAAAATAGGTGCCAACCATAAATATACGAAAAAATACTTCGCAATGCTTGCTTTGTCAGTTCATGTAAATCAAAAATGAACCAGAGAAAATAAGGAATAAATAGATTGACCTCCAATTAAATTCCACATGAAATCATAGCCAAATCGGAAATCGAGAGTATGCGAAAAGGGAGAAAAAGCCTTAAAAAAACAAAGAAAAATTAAGGAATAAAGCAGTATGATATAATAAAAATTAATTTTCCAAAAAATTTGATCAGGCCTAAATAGGATTTAAGTTAAAATGAAGTGAAAAAGTCAATAACAATATCAAAAATTATACTCTCGAGCTAAATAAAAAAAACCATTTATCCATAATTAGTGTCTTGTCCGGAATAAATAGCAAATAACCCATCATATCCCCACGCTGGACTCAAATTTAAACAATTAATGATGTTATGGCAGCCTAACACTGGTCCTGAATTAACATGCATAGGGCACATACATTCGATACTAAATTTGATAAGATCATTAAATGATAAGTTAAAGTTGTTATTAATAGTACTAGTGAATCTAGACTAAGGTTGGGTATTAGATTATTCGCGATCCAGTCCATTATTTGTGAAGTCAAACACCTAGGTGAAGTGAAATTGTGAAACCAGATGATAATGATAAGCACTCCTTTGGATTTATCTTAATGAAATCCCTAAAGCACTAATCGATCGAAAGGTGAAGTTAAATTCAAAGCTAGGTTTAAAGAGTACATCATTCAACGTCAATTCTCATTTTGTTTCGCTTAAAAAGCTGTATCGAATATATTTAAAAATTGACCCCGCCAAAGGAGGATTTTCATGGAGATGCGATTGTTTAATTTGGCGAAGCCCGTAATGCACCTTCCCGCAACCTGGATAAACCATACAGCCATCGTCATCTGCAATCATAATCACTTCATACAACGTAATTTTGACTATTTAAATGAATCATCCAACAATTTGACTGACTACTACGTGCTTCCTCCAAATTACTTTCGTATGAGTCAATTTAAGTTGCTACTGTATAGAAGTTGTTTGACTTTGTTTTCGCAACCTGGTCATATTAGTAGGAAGACTTATAGGAACGCACCTTTTCCTGAGTCTTATTATCCCATAGCTAAGCGATTTCTTGTCATACCTCTTATTTATCAGATCCCGAACCCTCTGTGACTTATGGTGTGTCATGCTCTGAAGTTTTTTTTTAAAAATCATCCAAAGTGAGAACCCCACCTAGATACTTCCTTAATCTAGAATTGAGATCTATGAACTTAAATAGCTTACGCCTCTCAGTCTCGTAACTTTCCTCTAATTTCTGGATGGAGGCGTAATAAAGTATTTCATTAACTGTGCCCGAATGGTACTTCTTCGTTAAATTGCAGAATCGGAAAGCAATAGCATGTTAGCAACAATTCAAAATTACAGCCGAACAAAGAAGACAACTGTAAGTCAATCCTGCCATTTGGCCTTTGTGAATTGTTGCTAAGATTATGGTATTGCTCTCCGATTCTGCAATTTAATGAAAAGTACCATTCGGACACAGTTAATGAAATACTTTATTACGCCTCCATCCAGAAATTCGAGGAAAGTTACGAGACTGAGAGGCTTAAGCTATTTAAGTTCATAGATCTCAATTCTAGATTAAGGAAGTATCTAGGTGGGGTTCCCACTTTGGATGATTTTCAAAAAAAAT